CACTACACGAAAAAAATTGATTAGGACCAAAAACTTTGTCTTTATTCCTCGTCCCCTTTGCGCTTAGGAAAACTCATCTGAGTCCCATTAGAGGTGAGATGGGGGCATTGTTGCATAATGCGGTGCTCGCCCTCATGATCTTCTCAAGGGATAGGGATGAAGTTCCAGTTTTCTGATTCCAATCATAGATTCCATTCCAGATCGTAGTGGAGTTCGTATGCGTGGCTTATACAGTGACTCGGCGAAGTGGCGAACCCAAGTATGGGCCAGTGCATTCATCAACCCAGATGGGTCTTGAGAGCTGGGGGATTTGGGACTTCTTAGCTTAGGAAAGTATCGCTCCGAGATTCCAGACCCGGGCCATACTTGTGATGGTGCGCGCCACTTCCCACTACACCAGCTACGCACATGCTTGGAGTACCATCATATTCCACCTTATGAATATGAGGAGATCCATGCCGGCATCAACGAAATCCAACTATCAAATGGTGCATGACGGTTGATGGCGCCACATGTCTCCGTGTAATTTTCGCCCCTTTTATCTATAATTGTCTTCACTTAGCGGATCACAAATAACGTTCTTATCGCTTCCAATTGATACAATAGCCACGCACTTGTATGAAGAAAAAACACACAATCATTCCAAAATGTCGTCGAAATGTGCATGTCTGGTCAAATCGTCGACAACTAGGCAATGAGATAAAATCAGAAGCTCCTTATCAGTTGACTTTCAAAGTTTCGTTGAATATCCTGTTTACTTTGATCATTTCCTTCTTTGGAGCTTCCGCACGTACCGCTTGCTTGCTACTTTTTGGTGTTGTTTCGTTGACTAAACAACAAGATATTTTGTTGAAGCATTCCTCTAGACTTGTGTCTTCGGAGATATCATACAAAACAGAGAGAGGCTCAGCTCCATGATGAATCTTCGGGAAATCCAAGGCTGAATCTTTCCGGTTGCGGGAAAGGTTGCCACCAGAAGTCCTTTAATGGTGCATCGGCGAGGATCTTCTCGCGAGGGCGGGGATCTTTCCCGATTTGCCTGCAGTGTAGGATGCTTTCTCTGGTATATTTGGAAAACGAATCGGCCCAACGCCGGACGGACGTCTTGACGGTCCTGTTTTCTTCCTCGGAAGCCATTCTGTGACTCGGGACTCCATCTGTCATCTGTTCGACGAAGTAGGTCACTGGCCCAGCGGTGCTTCGAGTGTGCCATGTATTGAAGCAGGTCCTTCAAACGCGATCTCTCCTTGAGGTCTGAACTTCGCAAGCCTTGCTACCACTGTTGGCATTGGCTGCTTTTCAGAAAACTTCTTTTCAGCGGGTTATGAGAAGATTTTGTGCCTTTGCCGGTTGTTTTGTTGACAGGACACGTTTCAGTCGCATAACATATCGCCGGCAGTTCTGAGGCCCTGAATATCGATGCCTTAAGGTACCTTAAGGTAGTAAGGTTGTAGGATCCTATTAATGATCATTGACTATCCCTTTGTCGTTCGACAACACCATCACAAACTTTGGCTATTATTGGTCAATCGACACTCCACTATAGGTTGAAACATGACTATATTATACTAAATCAGTAAAGGACAAAATGAAAGGTTTTGGGCATTAATCAATCCCGTCTGGGGAATGCCCCCATGCTTTCGATGTANGTACAAGCCAGTGTTTTTATCCTCCCAGACGAGTCTGGTACCAATTAACCGACCCCGGAGAGATGGAAGGCTTGGTTGGCCTTGGCGGATACCGATGCGGGATTCGAACCAGCGACCATGCGTGTGTAATAGTGCAACACTTTCCACTGCACGCCGTCTATACCCATGTCCGTTAGGGAGATTTTGCTAACCTGGCAATGGGAGGTGAGGAGGAAGGTAGTTGCAGGGAGATTACGGTCCGATGTTATCTCTCGTTCATACCAGCGGTAGCGAACCCTGTTAGTATTGCATCACGTGTTTCACCTCCACCTCGACCATCGAGCAGAAATGCTGTCCAAGCAGTTTCGGATGGGTAGAGCGCCCATTAGACCATTTATACTCTCATACTTACTCGATTGAGTAACAGCCTTGAAACCGGTCGACCATTTTTTAGTTCAATATCATTTTATTGACTTTTTTAGGCAATAGCTGATATAGGCGACATGTGCATTGTTCGAGCAGCACATTGATCGTCCACGTTTTTTGAGCACTGTCTAGAGGCGGACCTACTGATTAATATAAAACATACAGGAAATGGTTACACCCACTAGACATTCACGAAGCCCCTAAATTACTGCCATGTAATTTTTGTACTATTGCTACACCTTCTTACGCTTCCTATCTTTTTTTGAGGGTAACGAGACCTGTATCAGGAGGTACTGGCATCAATGCATATGTTTTTCACAGAATAAGTTTAAGTTACCCAATCCCAGCTATTTATTCACCCCGGAAAAGGTGCACGAAAATTCCTCGGAATTGTGTGGGCTTTCCATCAGATCTTCTACTGCCATTCAAGCGAGCGGGTCATGAAATTCATTCTTCGACATCTTGCTTCATAGAACACTCAAAACATACTGACTCCATGATCAAATGTATTTATACGAGCCTCCCCTTATTAGCTTCTATTAGGATTCCTTGAAGAGTGAGCCATGACTCCTGAGTGTAACGTGAAAATTTTCCGGTTCTATGAGAACGTTCGATTCTTAGTTGAAAAGATCTCAGGCATTCCTGCAGAGACTCCAAAAATATTTTGTAGTGCTTTCGTGGATCCATTTGTATACGGGAATATTATATCATTGAATATTAATTTTTATATTTATATTCATGGTTTCTTGAGGTGCGCAATGATGTTGTTGCACTTTACGAATGCGATGGCTTTCTTAGTACCACACAATGAGATGTAATATAGGACAGTATGCCAAACATGCCTCGTTTATTTGATGGCAATGGGACATGTTCGGGAACTTATCGATTCTAAGGTCCAAAAATTTACTTCTTGAGTCTCTAGTTGTTACTATTATCAACTATGACTTGTTCGAAGAGCTGGTCACCACGTTGAAGGTATTCGATCGTGAAAATGTAGATTCGTTCATTATGCTTCACATTCCAGTACCTTTCACCCTTGCCTGACACTTTAAACTTCTTTTAACCGCTGAGCATTTCGCCATTTCACTTTTGCCTTTTACCATGGAATCCATGACCCTTCTCCTACCACCAAACAATAATCGAACAGGGTCACAAGCCGTATGAGATGCCGAAAATCTACTTCGTTCCAATAACTGCGTCTACCATATGCATGTGAGGAAATACCAGGATGAGCTCGCGAGTCCGTTCACAGGCCCAAGTCCAGTTCTTTTGTCAAAAAATGCTGCAATCAACTCTTATCAGTAATCAGTGCTATTTTGAGAATTCGTTGCTAAACTCACTGGCAGGAATTTCTTTCTTTTACATCTATAACTTGTCAGTCTTAGCTATGGGTCAGGGTGCGCCATCGCAATCGTAAGCAACCCAAACTGGGTTGCCGCTCATGCTGCCTCGTCCGTCCTCGACTCTTCTGGTCAGGAGATCCGTCCACAAGGTCATGTGGCACCGAAATAGTGTTACTCAAGCAGTTCGAAGGGATATTTACGATTAATAACTAGTTTTGCTTTTTAGATTACGGTAGGAAGTGAATTAGGGCAGTTCGTTGGTGAAACTTTTTTCCTAGACTTCTTCCAACTTCTTTATTTCATTTGAACTTTCGATCTTCATCGCCAGAACTCATTTATATTCACTTATTAGCATGAATTGACGCTTTTTTCCTTTTATGAGAAAAATATTCACATAAAAGGAACAGGTTCTGTCCGGAATCAAACTCCTCTTTCCTTGTGGTTGTTGATGTTTGTTGTATCCTGTGGTCGCTCCAGCTATGGAACTCCACCCATTAGGTGCTAGCCATTAAATGCTAGATTTTCTCGAAAGGCACCATTCCTGCGGTTTACTGTTGCTCTCCGGGCTGAAAAAGTAATTTTCCTTATATGGACTCCATTTAGATTGCTTCGAAGAAGGTGACCATTTGGATCGCCAAACAAGTCAACTATGCGGCTCTCACCGCGACGTCACGAATTCATTTGTGTCTTCTTACTGGGGGCCGGAACCCTATTCCTTTATCTTAGTTATAGCGTGCAAGCCTTCATAGGTGAAAATGTCATTCACACGATCAGTGAGCGATATCCAGGAAGAATTTTCAGGCTGGCCGGATATTATGGGTGAGTTGGTTGTTTGTTGTCGATTTTCATCGGAGACAACTGTGATTACGGTAGTGATTTGTAGGCAGGCGATTCACTACACAGCTTTTGCAATTTCGTCCCTCATCACTCCATCTATACAGACTTATGTACGTTCGAAATGGATTCTTGCCATGGGCAGCTTACTCTTCGCCCTTTATTATGTGGGATTCGTCCAAGTGAACTCTATCTACTTCTTCATTTCACAAGCTCTTATGGGCATCGGTTACTCGTGTAAGTGACAAAATCATACACTTTCCAGAATCTTTATAACCTCCTCTACTCATTTCCCTCGCAGGTCCGGTCTCAGGTGTGCGAGAGATAATGCAGGGGAAAATAGCGGGTATGTGTACGAACGTGCGTCCGAGGATGCGCGCGGCAAATTGCGCGGCGAAGTTCGTAACTATTTGANAGTTTATGCCCTGAAAATTGGCGCCAGAGTCATACAAATCGTCACGACCTTCGCCGCGCAAGTTGCCGCGCGCACCCTCGGACGCACGTTCGTACCGTCCCCCGAAAATTGCTAGTCGGTCCCCATTTGCGGAGCGTTGGCAAAGAGAACAACAAAATTGGGAAATATGCTTGGGAAGCACGTCGTCTGCCTCGTGCAGCTATCCGGCTGTAGACCGCAGCTGAATAATGCCTTACCTAATCTCAATCTCTTTTATGAGAGCAGGGCATTCCTCCACCTCTTCCGTTCTTTCAAACTTTGCGGACGTTTTTAGTTTATAACAATGGTGAAGGTGCGTACCTCTCTGAGCATTCTTCAAGTGAAACCGTCGAATCAAATACCGGCATCGAGACAGCAGTCGGTCATAGCAGGTGAGATTCATTTATTCTTCTCCCTGACTTCCAGTGCCGCACCTACTCGACAGGCCTAGTATGCCATGGATATGTTGTTTGTTGGGCCATTTCCATACAGTAATGCTGTGTGGGTGATTAGAGTGTAAACTCTAATCACCCACACAACATTACTGTATGGAAATGGTTTGAAGGTACAGTTGTCGATAATTTGGATAATCCAGATTACGATGAAAAATGGAAGACAAGGTCGAAAATAGTGCGACGAAGGTGAAAAAACTGCGTGAATCGGTGTTTCCAAAGTGAGAAAAGGCTTCGAGAACCCGTTAAAAAGGGGGCTGAACGAGAATGAGACCAGAAAAATTAAGAAGAGTGGGGCGTTTGGACGAGCTATACAATGTGTCCCACTGCGTGCGTGTGGGTCCTAATACGAGTAACAGACTATGATAAGCAAAATTTCATTCACTTATAAGCATTACTAAGCAAAAACCCCTAGTCACAGCAAAAGTAGCTCACCTTTTTCAGCCTCTAGGAGTAGGAAATTAAATAACGGATCGCGGCAGCAAAAAGAATAACAGAGGAAAAAAGAATGGAAGAAAAACATCGTCTCATCACTCGGCGATCAGCTGGTTGTGTGTGGGTCGTAGAACGGATAGTTGCAATCTGTATTGTCTCGACACTCCTTTAACGTAACATCGATCGAGGAGCGTTAAAGCCAATTAAGGCAGCAACAGGGCTTCCACTATGCCCTAAGCGCCAGGATTGTGGGAGGGAGAGGGTCCCTTCTACCACCCATGGGGGTCGTTGAGTATTCCTAAAGGAATAACTCAGTGACCTTTTTTTTATCGTGAACCGTGCCTTGAAGAATATCAATGCAGCAACTACCGAACCTCATGACACATCGTCAGCTGCTTGTTGATGCGTCCCCAATTGTTTCCACAAAATAATGGACATGCCTACAGCTCTGAAATTTTGAGTCTTCTTTTACGGGTCGCTTAACTTGTAATGATATTTTATTTTCAGTATGTTCGTTGGTGGTGGTGCGTTGGCACTCATATTCTACTTGATCTCACCTGTAAGTAATAAATTTTGGCACATCGTTCGTTCTTGTTCCCCAGACCCATCATTAACTTTCGTTTCAGTCCAAATCATCGGGCGAAATCGCCACTCAGTCCTACACAGACACACAAATCCGCTTAATTTATGGCACACTACTCGGCTTGAACATGATGTCTTTTGTGATATTTGCTTGCCTACCAACAAAGGAGTATGACAGTATCGCTTCAACATCACCAACAGTTATTCCCAGCCTCAGAAAACAGTTTGGTAAGTTCCCGTCAACGTTCACTTTTGTTTCCACGAAACGACAGAGTTACTGGCAGGGTGAAGTTTGCCTGCTTGAATCGTCAGCACGTAGTCTGATGCTTTCTTAATCAAAATTAGAAATCTTACCTGCAAAGGGTTATGGAGAATTATTCAATCGAAAAGTTTTAGTCCGCTTTGTCGGTGAATGAACCGTCCCGTGCGTGCTGTGGAATCTTGGCCTTTGAGGAAGACGATAACATCGAAACGTTAAGCCTTCGATTCCATAAATTGTTCCACCTAACAGCGGCACAAGAATTTTTTAATCATAAATAGGGAGAGTGTTTAACAGTACATTTATGCATAGGACCTTTCCAATACAGCAAGATTTCAGGGGTAAAGGAATAGAGAGGGAAGGTTCGGCAGTCACTCAAAACTCAAAAATATAGCGAGAATCTAGTCAGGATCAACATACGCTTTAGACCTACTAATAATGAAGGAAGGACAAAACGAATGAGGTCATTTTAGTGGGCGATACATGTCTGCATAAGTGATTTATTGCAATCGACGAAAAAAGGTGCCAAAGTTTCTCAATGTCTAGGCTGACGCCTCTGTTTTTTTTTCTCGAAAAATGTTGGCTGGTAATTGAGCATAGTTGGATGCCTTGTAGAAGAAAGCAATAGAAATACAGTGAACCCACTTGTTTTCAAAAAGATTCGCTTCCTTTTCGTTTGAACCACAGACTGAAAATGAACAGGAACACTATTTTGACAACGAGCCTTGTTGCGAAATCTTTTCCCAACAATTTCTCGGGTTCAAGTGTGTTTGGAGTGGCATAGGGAGTCATTCAAATTACCAAAAAAATGACTTATGAATTTTGAATGCCGTTCCACTTTAATTCCTCTAAAAGTCGCTGTTCTCGTACAACCGCCCAGCATTATTGTGCGTCTATAGTGCCCAATGCACGTGGTCGCGGTAGCGTAGCTTAGCCACGCCTATATTCGACTAGCTGCTTGTGTTTTGATACTTTTCGCGCGAAATTCAAATTTCATTCGCTTTGATCCGATAGGCATTGGCTACTGTTATCCTTAAGGGTATGCCAATGTAGGAGATGATCGATAGCATTCTCATAGAACAAAGGTGTCTTGAAGAGAAGAGGACGTTGTTGTCGCTTTTCAGCGCCTCCGCGCTCGTTGTGATAGTTTTCAATTAGATACAGGTTCATAAGAAGTCACTGAACAAGGCAAAATCGAGAGAACACGACGTATCTGGGAGAACCTCCTAGCCATGCCCGGGAATTTTTTTCATACCGAATTAGGCTTTGTGCTGTACGGCATTGTCCACGAGCAGATGGACTCTTCCTATCCAATGGCGACAAATTCCGTCAATCTTCTACAGTTCGGAATTCAAGGCATCTACTGTCATCGTCTCATCTGACAGAAGCATCGCAAATTGAACCACGTCTACGATTGACACCACTGATCACCGCTTTCTTGCAGGATCGGTCAACACTTGGTGCTGATTGTGGCTTCTGATCAGCTCCTGCTCATTGTCCCCTTGCCGTCTGATTATTGTGAAGGACATTCTCATTTACTAATATTGGATAGTCAGTCGATGCGACGAAAATGAGAAAAAGCTGTATGGCGAAGTACATCTTGCGCGGCTCTCTCAACACGAGATATACGACCGCTCACTTTGCATTGGATGCTTGATCCATTCAAGAGATTGGCAACTTACTGCTGGAGACCTTGAGTGCTGCTGCAACAACCCGAAAGGAAGTCTCCGTCTCCTCAACGGACGTAAGCAACTGCCTCCACCCACTTCGGCTGGCAGCTCGGCAGCTCTCTCTTCACCATCCAGATAAGCTGCCACTTCTTGAGCTTTGGGGGCGCTCACCGTGGTTCTGAGGTAGAATATCCAATAAAATCCTTACCTGAGGCTCCGTAGACGCACTGTTCTGCTCTGTTCGCTTTGTGGTCAGACGAAACACGTAGAGCGAATGGTGCCCACATTAGAGGCGCTCCATGGGCGTTCCAAAGATTCAAACGTGGCGGGACGATGGCCAATCAATAAATATGAATTACTGGTCGGATACGTAGTGGGAAGGGTGAGTAGCGCAGAGTGAAGGAGTCTGAAGGAAAGTCTTGGAAATAGAGTACATAAGTCAGGATAACTAGACAGCTATGCGTTTCTACGGTACGTGTCTACACGTCTTCTTTATGATCAAAGCATTTTCGGATGCTCGGCTGCATTCTCAGAAGGAACTCAGCCACCAGTTCGAAGCTTTGTCCCGCACAACCACAAACAAGTGGAGCTTTGGTTTTGATTCTATTGTCCTTGCTTGTTTGCTCTAGACTAGGGTATGGTGTGCAAATCGCTTAACTTCAAGTAAAGACAGAAATTTATGATGACTAAAATTGCGGTTACCTCCGAAAAAACCCAATCTGGTGCGGGAAATAACACTCTTGCTAATCTCACTTTTCTATTCTGATTTTGCTTAGAGACGAAGTGTTGCCCATAGCCATACAATTTGAAAGCCTTTTGAAAATCCATTCATATAGGGACGAACGCAAGTGTGCTCTCAATCGGAAGTTCATAGTCCCCTTGTAGGTTATCGTTGTTCTGTTATACTCGCAGCTCAAAAGAGATCGTGCAAAAAAAAATCATTTTAAAGTTTACTTTTGATTTCACGTGAAAGGTCAAAACTGTTAGATTTTATGCGGTTTTTTTTTGTACCTAAAGTACAATTCTTATTCAAATTACATCATGAACCAAGACGAATCGAACATTGTAAAGGAAACACAAAGGGCAATCAAACGCTATCAGTAAAATATGAAATTCTAGCAATAACATGGAAAAAAAGTTCTTGAGCCTGAAACTTTTGCCATGAAAGAATAGATATGGGCACATCAAGGTAATGCCAGCTATACAATTAGACCAACACTTCTTCTAACTATCATCTCTTTCACTCTCGCGAGACCACAGTGTTCTGAGAGGGAAAGGAATATTTCCACTGGCATCTTCGAAACTGCAAGTCATAGAATTGCGATGCGGTCCACTCAGTCGCTGCACCTTCAAAGAGATAGTCAGTGCCTAGATAATGCTTGGAGTATGAACTTCTAGAATCTGTGAATTTCGTTGGCACCTCGGAATCTTCCCGCAGTTTGAGTACGTTCCGTCCAACATTTTCCTCGTACCCCCAACATACATACATATGTCGCATGTTGTGCTATACGCCTACAAACGAATGTGCTGTATCAGCCCTTAATCTTTCACTAGGCTCGTAACATCTGTTCATTGGTAATTCTCTTTAAACAACTACTTTTAGTTGGCAAAAAATTACTGTAGTGAGGGACGTATGTACATTTCTACTCAGCCGATACTTTGCGGCGAACTAGATTGAGGCCATTCGTTGTTTTGCCACGAGTACGCTGAACAAAACCATCTGACAACACCATTTGAAAAAAACGGTTTCGGTAAGCATTGGGGAGATGAGAATGACGTGGGGCTTATTTGCTCCACTAGTTCAAGACTCCGAGACGCCTGAGCGAGTGCGCGTATCCTGTAGAATTGAAGATTTCCAGGTCCATCGTTGACTAGCACTGGAAATAGTCTCATAAAAATCTCCAAAAACAGATTGTACGACACTGATTTAAGGCTCGGAAAGGGGTAAATTTCTAGTTCTGGCCTCGAGAAAGATTGGCAATTTTCAGTAGCGAGCCGAAATTATGCCCAGAATGGCAAAATTTCTGGTTACCGGGAGTTTCATGAGGGATCCCATCGAATGGACCCGAATCTGAAGTATTTACTGCTGACGATCGTTGTAAGAACGGCAAAGACCGTTAAATCCCTTCTTACTGATATTGCTTCATGTCGCACGTATGCATTGCCACACATCCTATCCGCGCCACCTCAACTCGTTCAAGTGGGGGCGTTGCCGTGCCACGCTGATCGCGGAGTGTCGCGCTCACTGCTAGAAACTCTGAAGATGAACTTTAGAGAAGAAGAACTCCTTAGGAAAGACACAGTGGTCATCCTCCCATGTTCGATAAATCCACTTTATAATCACTTGGAACAAGTGGTGAAAGCAATTTTTAAAGGACTAAAAATAGTAGCTTACAATTGATTGAAAAGCTCATATCTGTCTATTTCTAGAGTAGTTAGTTGTTTAAATCCTCCGGCAATTTTGCCTTCCAGGTAAATTCAAATCAGCCATGAAGGAAGTAAATATGCTGTTGTTGTTGCCATTTTTCGGCTATATGGGCCTGATCGTCTCATTCCTCATCGGTGTCTATCCCACCACCTTGGCCTTCACGGAGTCACTGAAGAGTGACGTCTACATTGTCGCTCTCTATAGTGTCGGTGCCGGAACTGCTGAAATTTTCGGTATGTTGCATTATACGGCAACTTCATAAACCCTTTTACCGAGATATCGTTTATGAAGAACGTTGCCTCGCCTTCACTGAAGTCGGGGTTCCGTAACGGAGAGTCCTCTGGATCAGGGCTCGATTCAGCCGTCTATAACAGATACCAAAAGCTTATTGCAAGTAGCAGAATGGAATTACTACATATTTAATTACAGGATGATCGTTGCTGATTTTAGGTGGCGTCGTGTTGCGGCGTATCCTTTTAAAATTTAAGGACTGGGGACTCGTAATGATGATCAGTACCCATTTCCTGGCAGTGTCAACAGCACTTATACTAGTTCTTCTGTCTGTACCCGAAATGGCCACAATCCAGCCAACCAATGAGCCGACTCTGCTCATCAAACCAAGGTGTGACCATTCTTTAGGATGTTTTTTGATTCGCTTTCTCAAATTTTATTCGAAATGTATTTCGAACCTTTAAAAATGTGTATGACTGCCAGTAAAAGCGCTCGGTTTCGAATCATCAGCGATGGGAAAACTTTTCATCTCTAGGATAGTCAGTCTGACATTATCATTCATTATCATTCATTATCATTTATTATCATAGAGGGCATTATCATTTTACCCGATGATCACAGTGGCATCTCTTAGCCATTGATATTTCAGCAGAGTGATTGTTGTAATTATCGGATTTCTGCTTGGCATGGGCGATTTTACGATTACCACAGGTCGAGCAGTGATCTGCCAGGTAGCCGTACCTAAAGCTCGGATGCAGGTATTCTCCATGAGTCGACTTTATCAGGTCAGCTGTGACGATCAAGCAGCTTTGTTTTTTCCCTGTCTGAGTACCTTCGATCTAGTTAGAGTGAGAGATTCATCTAATAAATTGTCAATTATAAATAGAAGATGGTTGTGGTGCAATAACTACTTTAATGAAAATCATTACCGTGGCCTGCGATAAATAATTCACCAAATAATCTTTTTCTCTTGATTCGCTGAATCGTTCTGCTTCGCCTCTTGAGTTGTCGAAGGGTTCTGCTTGCGTTTCTCTGAAAACACTTTATTGTCGATTTCCTGCTCATTTATCATATTTCAGTGTGTGTTGGCATGCGCCTTTCTCTTTCTTACGCCTTATATGAAAACCACCTATTGGGTCATCGTCCTTGGCTTCTTTCTCATCACTGGATCGACAACATTTGGCATCGTTGCAAAGTGAGTACCAAATAATAGTCTGAACTCAAGGAATATATCACAAATCTGGACTATGATTGGGAGAAGCGAAGATCAAGTCACGTAGAAGACACCTGAGTTAGTTAGAAATTGCCCTCCGTGAGAATGGTCGGTTCCCCCACTACACCCTACATCCACCCTGGAAATTCCCTGTGTTAATATAATTTGGAAGTAAATGTCATTTCATTTTTCGGTAATGAGATCTATTTCAGACGAACCGCTCATTTACGAAGAAATGTTGTCAGTCCCTGTGAGGACGCAAAGTCCAAAGACCGAGGTGAAACCGCCGACGCATAAGGCTGCCACAGTCATCGGGAAATCGTCACTGCAATTCACCACATTACGAGAGCTTCTTCTAAAGCTGAGCATTCTGATCTCAATAGTTTCCATAGATTCTGGGACCTTTTAGGAAATCCTGATGACTTCTTCTATACTAATCTCGGAGATTCATGTTTCCTGAAGTAAATTCAACAGTAGATTTGAAGAACGGGTTCAACTGAGCTCCAATTCTTTTGGGTTTCTTAGCCTTTCCTAGATTTCATTGTGTTAAAATAGCATGCCGTTGTTCGATTCGGGATAATAAAGCGATCGCTATTGTTTAGTTTCTTGTGAAGATGTAAAGTTAATCAATTTCGCTACCATCACGAAAATCTCCCGGTGTTAAATTTTACAAGGGTAATGAACAATGTAGAATATACCATTTATCTAGTCTTAGCTGCAATGACTTTGGAACACAATATAAATATAAAGGAAAGATATGTGTATCAAAAAAAATGGGCGGAGGTGGTGTAGTGGCAAGTGGCGCACTATATCACACGCACGGTCAGGGGTTCGAATCCCGGATCGATGCCCGCCTAGGCCAACCAAGCCTTCCATCCCTCCGGGGTCGGTGAATTGGTACCAGACTCGTCTGGGAGGATAAAAGCACTGACTTGTACATCGGCTGGCCACCGCAAGTCATTGTATAGGCCACATACGCACTCATTACGCCACTACGATTCTGAATGGAAGTCGAGTGCGGAGGCGCATCCCCTGACGGGATTGATTAACGCCAAAAAACTTTATCCTTTATCCTTTTATTTATCAAAAAAAATGAAAAGTCATCACTTTTAGAAAAGAAGTTTTTGGGGACAATCACTTTTGACACCTTTCTTACTTGGCTTGAAGGATAGTATTAAAGGATATGGGAATATCAGATACAGTAGCGCTCAAAAGTCTTCGGTGAAATGGCTCTTCAGCCGTACTTTTCAGTCGTAACTCCTTTCCTGCTGGATCTAATCATGCGAAATTTCTATGTTTGGAGCGTGGGTGTATTGTGAATATTACTACTACTGACTGGCAATCTGACCATATTCCAAATATTCCTAAGAGCATGAACTCAAAATCGACGGAAAATACAGATGATGGCTCTTCTAGAATCTCTTTCCTTTTTGTCTTGTTTAAAGTGTACGAGCGGTAACACCGAACACAATAGATGAGGAAAACGCACATAAGGTGCAAATAAGTGCTTACGTCAACAACTCTACTTCTACCGAAATTTGCTACCGCATTAAACACCTTGCTCTACCTGTGGATAATGCTGTTTGCAGTCAAATAGTGTTGTGTAGGGTGAAATACGCTCTAGTTAAACATATCCAAATTTCTGGTATGAAGATGTGTGGTATAGCCTCAGCCAAGATGGTACAGCACTTTATTCAGTCAACGTTTCGGCGTTACCGCCTTCGTCAGGACCTTAGAATAGAGGAGACGACAACCAAATTTCGCGCGGTTTGGTCTACTACGAAAAAAGTTATGAACAAAAAAGGGTCAAAGCATTTCACCGAAGACTTTTGAGCGCTACTGTATATCACAAATTTATTTATGACAGGAAATGCTCCTTTCCTATTCATTAGACTAAATGAATGGAGAACTAATAGAGGAACAAGGAATAGACGGGCAAAAAAGTCAGGGTTGGACTGTAATTACGCATTGAACCGAGTTAGTAAAATAAACAGTTTAGTGGAACCAATGCAATATTATGGTCTACTAAAAAGCATAAGGAAGGCCGAAATTGATAAATCATTTCGACTTTCATTTCAACCTATAAATCACCTATAAATCTAGGAACTCTTCATTCTCGTTCGAACCGTACTGTTAATTTTGAATTAATTTATTACATTTTAAGTTGTTAGCATGTCAAATGGGTATCTTGAATGGTTCATTACTCTAGCCTCGACTCACTTATGAGCCTCAGGGACTAGCGTTTAACCTGATTCGTCTGGGTTAGGAGGCGAAACGAATCACGTGCGGCCGTTGTACCTTCCAGTTTTATTAATTTTCTCATCCTTTTCTTCTTGGTACTTCCTATTTGACATTTCTGGGTTATTATGGGAATTTTGTTGTTCGTAAAGCATGATAGCAGGAGGCAAAAGAATATTGTATCGTTCGGGACGATGATTTACAGTCTCTAAAGCCATGCTGCGCGAAGATTCAACCTCAACAATTACCACCACGAAAAAAAATGGCAGATTGGGAGAGAAGCACTTGACTGATACTATCATCTGATGCAAGCCTTCAGTGAAGAGGTTGTCACTAACCCACTTTCTCCTCAAATCTCTAATGTGGAAAAGAGAAGGACACATTTGCTAGCATTGGGCATGGCTTACATACTAGGTAGGCAGTAGGACCAGCTTTGACAAATGTTTTAACGCTTGAGTAAAACTGAGGAGTAAGAACACTCACGTTCTTTTCAAAGTCTTTAAGAATAAGCCAGTGATCGCCACTGTTTTCGAGCTCTAAAGTTTCTTGATAAACTCTTGTTCAGCTACTTTGAGTAGGTGAAAACATTGGGATTAACCGTTGACGATTTGTGTACAACGGCGACGAAATGTGGCTCATTTTCGTCAGGCACGTCTTTGCTGCAGAGAACGACTATTGACTTTATCATCTTCTTATTGTTTTCGACAGTTTTATGGACCATAATTTAATCTTCAATGCAACGTGACTCTTAGGAGCAGTGCTACTGAATAGTGCTGACCTCCGGAGACAGACACTAAGATAACCGTTATTTCCAATTCAATTTCCAAATGTATAGCGAACTTACTAGGCAGTCAATAAGAGCTGTTACAAAAGGGAATGAAACAAAGCAAAAAAGGTATAAAAAAGAATTTCGTTTTAATGGAAGGGAGTTCAAAAGAGAGAATGAAGAGAAATAAAAAGGGAAAAAATTGGGAAGTGATGAGAACGCGGAAGCACCAGAAGTCGTGGAATAGGAAAATGAGTAGAATGGCACAGCTCAGGAGAAAAACGTTCACAAGAGAAAAGGAAATGCGCGAGCTGCTCCTATCCATAGAGGCATTAGCTTAAATGTTCTCCACTACTAATACGGTGAACAACCTCTGCTTTTTTCTCGGAATGTACCCCAGTCAGCCGATAAACTTTGAAGGAATAAAAATTGGAGACCCCCGGGCCACAGTGGCAGCACTCTGATTGAAGCGCTCTCTTCCCACCTCACCTACCCTAAACACAACAGTTTGCTCAGTATGGTAGACGTAAATGAGTGGCTTCCCTTTGTTATCCAGAATTTACCCAGAATTTAGTCTCAGTTCATTGGAGCAGCCTGGAGAGATACAATCTTACCGGCCATGTATATTACGCTTCCAACTAATTCACCCCTAAGTCAAAACATCCCTTCTCTAGAGGTATGCAGACGGAGGTGAGGCTTATGTGGCCAACTACATTATCCGGAGCCGGTCCACGTATTTTTCCTAAGGTCTTGAATAAGAAGAAGCCTTTTAAAGATTGCAAATGAGTTCATTCTTTGTGCTCCTGCACCTCTATTAACCCCCGTAAGCACTCTCTTAAACTGACAAAATGTTCGTCCTAATCGTCTCAGGGATCGTCTTGGGTTTTTTGGACTTTGTGTGGAGGCGGAGCCATCTGGTGCCACTGGTATAAGACATTTAGAAAATGGCTTTTCTATTAGTCTAATTGTTACCCTTCTATAAAGTTGTACTGAAAGGTCATATAAATACCTCTATTGTTGTCCTTTATTGGTCATCCTCCCATAGACCATAGATGCTTTTGGTAATTGTTTCGTTGAAATACATTGGAGCGACATCGATAACCTGCCCATACCTCTGAATTGAAGTTAACATCTGAATGTCTTACAAGACTTACAACTGCAGATGTAACAGATGTGCTTTTGCTGTATTATCCAAGATACACACCACAATGGTTCGAAAAGCTTTATGAGCATCACATTCTTCGGAAGTTTCAGGATTTTTTTCAATGAAAAGCTTTTATTGAAGTAATTCCTCAATTTCTATTTTTATGCAATTTGATTACCCACTTTCTATGTGATTTATTATGATCTCAAAAACAGTAATCCCTTGAGAATCCAACATTTCCATTCACTTGGCCAGTGCAACTTTTCTATGGCCAAATGGCCTGATTAATCAGATGGAAGGTTTTAGTGGTACAAAAAAAGGGCATGGGTATGAACCAGATTCCCGGATTATTGGCTGGCCTGTCGATCAGCCTTACCGCAACCAGAAGTTTATAATCAGAGCTTTATACAATAGTTTTTGGAGTTCACAGCATTTTAGAAGAATTAAATTCAGAGATAAGAACGGCACGGCTACTAAAATGAATTTTGACTCAATTATTCATTTATATATTGCTTGTACTGTAATTCCAGAACAATAGTCATCAGGATGTTATCTTCAAAGTTCCCCGTAGGAGTTTTTGCAGTAATAACCAGTAACTCAATGGTGTATCAAAATTTTGGTCTCACATTCCCAAACGTTCTTCAACCACACCCTTTCCTTTTTCTATAACAGAGAATAATAAGTGTTGATATGAATTATTTGTTGTGCTATTTATTGCAAAACTTTTTTCGCTGGAGTGATATTCTACGAGAGAAGGGTACTGTAACTCCGAACAGAGGCCATAATAGGTACTGTACCGATGATCATAGAAATTTCAACAAAAAGAACCAGAACGAAAGTTTTTTGTACAAACTATAATATTATAAAATAATAAATCACCTTCATCATATCATTCTATCATATTGTTCATAACCAATAAATCACCAGCGGTTAGCGCCCAGAATTTGGAATTTTAGATATTTCGCCAGAAAGGAAAATTCTACCGATATCAATTCCGTTGGAACCCATAAGGAAGGACCTTTCTCTCGAGGGTTGATGCTTGGAAAAAAAATTTATCCAGTATGTGAAAAATGATCAGGCCCTTGACTACTGCTAGGACATCCTTTAGATTCGTAAAAGCTGTATCATCAGCATACGGGCTATACCACAGTGACATGAATTCACTCAATTATTGACGGTATTCTTACCACGACTTATCACCATGGATTGAAGCCAATCGAAAGACCTTAATATGAAGAAAGCCCGACTACTTGGACACATTCGAATCTTCTGAGCAGCTCCAGAACCCTCCACCTTCTCCATGTTCTTTTCAATGTTTTAAGATCAGAATCTTTGGAGTAACTGCCACTGGAGATTTTGCTTTTCGTGGGTGAGATCTAAGGTACCTTGAGGAATACTGTTGTAGGTCTTTCCTCTTTGACTCCAACTCTTGACAGGGAAGAATGAGGTTTTGATGATGGTTTCGGTCATGAGGTGCTTATTTTCATATAGCGAATAGTTCGTTTAGAGGTTGCAATCACAATAGATACCTGTAGGTGCAGTTAGAAATGCTGGACCAAGGTTTTCTTAGAGCTTATACGATGTCATATGGCAAAAAGAAATCAAACAATAAAACCTGATGTATCAATGTTGTTTGACAAGTCACTGTCCACCGGATGAGCCTGGCCAACCGCTTTTGCAACTTAAAAAACAGCTGACTGGACGACAAACAGCTGCATAGCTGGACAACAGGAAGATCTGAACAATTGCCACGTTTGCAGAAGGGATTATCTTTGGCTTTTGTTATTTCTTTGAAGCGCCTCCCTCAAAAGTAGCTTTTATAGGGCTTTGTGAAGGTTCTAAAGAGCAAGCTGGCTTTAAAAATGCGCTGGGGTCTGAGTGTATACGGGTACTAGTCCCATGTCCACCAAAGAGATGGTAGAGTTTTTAACCAAACTTCTGGAAGAGGGTAGTGAATATGATTCACCGAAGTTTTTATGGCACCGCTTAAAAATGATATTCAAGGGAATAGTTAGAAGGAATGCTGTCAGGCCTGTTTCATGATATGAAACCACACCCTTAAAGAGCCCTTTTCGGGAGCCTTTTTCGATTTCTTTGAATGGACTTACATACGCAGTATTCAGTAAGAGTCTAGAAAAATGACAAACTGGTTGTTAACGGCAGAATTCGATCGAGGTTCAAGGCTGGCCAATTTTTTGGAAGATGAGGGAAAGGGGTGTTGGTGCAATGGCTGTGACGAGTAGAACGGATGAAATTCTCCCAAATTAGTCCTCTCACGAATTTTTATCAAACTAGACAGACGTTTCCTCCATCCGAAGTATCCCGACCAAAGTATGTAAATAACACAAACCTGATTTGGAAGCCTTGATTTTAGAAGAAAAGAGTGCTCATTGGTAATAAAGTCTCATATATGCATTTTCAATTCCATAGAGATCAAGAAACTTGCTTTTCAGGAATGAAAAAGCCTTTGTAGCCCTGAATTCTTCATTTTTGGTCCTGACAAAGATTGCCACCTCATAAAATATGTATGTCACGATAATATTCGTAAAAGATTACTATGACAGTTTTCCGCAGACTTCCAACTTTTTCCCACCTACCTACAACTTGTAGTTGCTGATTGTATGTATAGAATAAAAAGCAAGCGGTGGCATCTTGTGACAAACTTTTTTTCAGTTCCTTAATTACCCTTTATCAGTGTAATAGTGTTAACGAATGTCCACTGCTATCGCTTATCGCTTCTATTTCGATGCATTGTGGGTGTTTTTAACATAATTCCATCAATGGAGGTGAAATATTTAGCAGATAACATTTTGTTTCATTGCTTCCATCACATGGATCACCTGGATTCAAAAGATCTCGCCGAACACCGCAAACCCGACATTGAACCATCCGTCTTATCCCCCTTACGTTCTACACCATTGTTGACTGAATATTTTCGTCCCCATACAAATCCATCATTTCCAAGCATCTTCACGGCTGTGCAGAATCGGAGGGGATGTGGCCTATGTGACGGAAGAACCATCTGGGCATCACTGAAGCCAGAAAGTTTTCCCTCCATCCTCCTTGATTCTTGTTCCTCCCCTCGCGCTAAGCCATTCTTTCCCACCCCTTCCCTTCCCCACTTCCCACCCCTCCCTTCTCCATCCCACCCTCTTCCCCTTTCCCCTACGACAGAAGGGTTGCTGCTTCTTCTGTAAAAGACATCATTTTCGACAATTCTCTTGAGCCGTCCTGTACCAGTGGAGCTGTTCTTGATATCGTCCCTATGCTTTTTCTTTTGGCTCCTTGTGGTCGCTCGTCCTGGTCTTCCCACTGGGTTTTTCTTGTGTGCTTACTGCTCTCACATGTTCTGTCGAATAAGGACTGTATACATGACAGCACGAACAACTTTTTTTCCACCATCAGGCCACACCCTCACCCAACATCTTCTATTCGATCAAAAGAAGTCGCATCTTCTGAACACTTTTTTCGAGATGATTCGTGCTCATTCCCTGAAACTTCTCATCACAAAGTCGAGATAACAGTCGTCGCTACTACGTAGAGCCCGTGAAAGATCTGGCTCACAGCAAGCCGTTGTGCATACCAAGGGCTCTCCCCGTTTCATCCACGCTTCGCTCAACCTGGCCCCCTTCTTTAAGTCACTAAGTATAATCCACTGCAATATTTGTGGCTAGATCACCTCTCTGGGGTCACAACTGTACCGCTCCGTCTGCGATTGGCTCTGAGCCGAGAATCTAAGTCTTTCAAGGTCCAGCAGGAACCTTTCTTTTCCGACTACTTCTTCATTTTTTTCTTTCCCCTTTGAGCTTAGGAACATATCGAGCATTTGAAGTTTTGATTACTAGAAATCATAGAACAAAACAGCTTCCTTGAAAATCTGTCTCTACTGAAACGGGATCCACAAAAGTTAGGTCTCCTTGATTTGGCCTACAACAAATCGGATGGGTTCGACTCGAACTCAAATGTATCATATGAATACAGTTTGGACTCTTAAGACTTATTGGCTTGATGGCACTCTATGCAAAATACGGGTATTAGGGAAAATAAACATTACTATAGGTGTACTGTGGACTCCATGAACATTTCATCATCTCTTATCATATAATTTCATAATCCCTGATTAAATTGATTACCTAGAATTTTCTCAGAGCTCCCCTAGAAAATCGATCACGATCTTTCAAGTAGTTCCTATGAAGAATGATTTCCATTTTAAGGATCTCTTGAGGGCAAATAAAACTTTCATCAGTTTAGGATAAATGTAAATGTTATCATTCTCAAATGGGAGTGTAAGCAGACTTCCTCGAGATCAAGTCCTCCCTGACCTTCCTTCAGCTGGATTCGGATCCGTTTTCCACTCCGATGAAGTTGTTCAGTTGCCAGTTGATGCTTTTTATCTCTTACGACCAGTATTCCGTCTGAAAACAATTTCACGACAAAAATTTCCTGTCCGAATGTGAGAATGAGAGACGCCTACAAGGGGAATTATCCTTGTTGAGCAACTTCCAGGTAAAGGGTAAAAGAAAGGGTGGTGTCGAACAATTTATTTAAGAGCTTTACAAATACGACGGCTTTACTGATTTTCTGGAAAATGACACGTTGGCCATAAGATCTGTGGCCGACAAGAACGAGTTCTCCGCTAGGTGCCCATCTTCTCATCAGGTCTAGGGTCTTCAGCAGATTCAGCTGGTGTAGTTATCCATTATTCGCAGAGGTAGGTACCATACTTGCTGAAAGAGTAAAGGATTGTACTGGATAGTAAACCGACAGGTTTCTCTCGTTTTCAAGGCGTATTTCTAGCAAATTTCTCTTGTTTTTGCAGAATGTTTTCTTTGCCCTTTCGCAGAATGGTTTCTTTCCCCATCAGCTTTGAGAACCGATCTCTATACATCTGATTTGCGTTCTTCAATTTGAAATTTAAAAAGTTAAAGTGCTCCTTCCCTACTCTCCCCCATTCTTCTTCTCCGATACAGAACTTTTAACGGACGTCTTTTACGAATTTTTCAATTGACCATACACTCATACGTCCTGAATACCTGCAAAAGTAACTTCTACGTTTCCATTTAAGGCAACGATGCAGCTCACACCTCGGCGTCATGAGCTACTCTCGGTTTACATGCTTGGAGCTGGCACGTTATTTTTGTATTTGGGATATATCATTCAAGGATTCATAGCGGAAGCAGTCATTCACACTGTCAGTGAGCGATATCCAGGATCGATTACGAAATTTGGTGGATTTTATGGGTGAGAGGCGATTGTCTTTGAAATTTGGATTTTCCGGACTGTTCGGGATTCTTGATTGAATTTCAGGCAGGCAATCCATTATACAGCGTTTGCTACTTCATCCCTTATCACTCCATCGATACAAGCCTATGTCCGCTCTAAGTGGATCCTTACCTTAGCTAGCGTGTTGTTTGGTATCTACTATCTAGGATTCATTAAAGTCAATGCTATTTATTTCTTCATCTCACAAGGCCTTATGGGCCTTGGATACTCGTGTAAGTGTTAATAATCGATCTTTACTTCTCCCTCATCTGAGCACGAAGGTGAAAGCGTGGCGCACCCGTTTTGGGATGCTCCACTCTTTCGTCTTCCTTTCAGGGCGTAATGGTGTTCTTAATGCCAGTGTGGTAGCCAACAGATGTACAACTCAGTGCTTTCGTCTTCCAAACGATTCTGAAAGCGACTAATCGAGTCAGGAGGGGAGGAGGGCTCGGTCGATCCGGGCGAACTGGCCCACGACATGGTCCGCAGAACATAAGATGCTAGAAATACATAAATATGACATTAACATCATTACACTCCTCGAGTTCAATGCTCGACCCTAGGGTACGGTACAGGCGTCACTTATCAACTCTGTTCCACTTTTGCTTCGATAAATCATAAAAGGGCGTTAACAGAGAAGTGGCGAGTATAACCATCGGGAATACGCCCATTTGACTCTTCCCTGAATCGATTTAGATATAAATTTCAAAAAATACATGTGTTGTTGTACAGGAAACGGAACCTGCCCTATAAATGGGTATGACATTCCTAGAGGTGAATACCGATTGTTCAGAAGAGTGGCTGAATGAAAATTAAATGAATCTTAACAGAGGGAATGACCCACAATGAAACTTAATCATTTATCCTTCACAGACGTGAATTCCTCTAAGTTTCCCCTCAATTCTAACAAAGTGAAGATTTTCAGTTTACAACAATGGCGAAGGAGCATACCTATCCGAACATTCGTCAAGGAAAACTCTTGAGTCGAACACTGGCATAGAAACGGCTGTTGGCCACAGCAGGTAAATTCGCTCAAAATCTTCTTGGGGATATCCCCTTCTGGGCATATTTGTTGAATACTCCGCCCCATTTACACGACGTTCCCGATTTTCGTAAGCGCGCTGACCTCTGCACTGTATTGTCTTCTTGGTCTACGCCGTTCTTGCACCTTCTGAGTGCAATAATTCCAAACATATTGCCGTGATATACAACGCCAATGATTGAGAATGTGAAGAATTATGTTTTTAGTTCTCGACGTGGCTCTCATGTCATGACGGCACAAAAAAATGCTGTTTTTCTCGGATTTCATTGTGAGAACACAATGTTTTCGGAGAGATTGTTTGATTAGGAGCACTTATGCGGGGGGTCAAACTAGACGGGACCTCAAAAAACGAACTTTTTCTTGAAAGTCGAAGAAGAGGATTATTGCACAACGAAAACATAACAGAACACTTGAAAAAGATCTTTTCGAGTGAGCGAGGGAGTCCTAACTCCAAACACTACAATTCCGTTAATTCTACAGTATTCTACTGGAACTGTGAATATTCCAGTAAAATATAACGAGATTCCTAAAAGTATCCATACAGAAGAAAATAGCCAAAAAGCATAGTGCGGAGAAAGTGTTGTGTGGGAACGATAATGTTCTCCCTTTTCACATATGTGTGCCATTAGGTCCGAATTCATCTTTCGTACACGTGGTCTTTTGTCAAACGATATCGCTAACACCGGAAATGCGTTTTCCTGAGAAGACAGTAAACCGAAGGTTATTCATAGAGTTCACGGAAACGTTCGTTACTATCGGTTTTCATTTACAATTCTAGGAAGTTTCTAGAGAGGAGAGGGTTCTCAGCTTCAAATATTTATTCAAAATATTGACCAACAATTAATATTTTCTAAAAAGCCCTTTCAAAAAAGTTAACTTCACAACAATAATGACACTTTCTTTCAGTATGTTCATCGGTGGTGCAGCTTTGGTGCTCATCTACTACATAATCACACCTGTCTGTTATTTATCCTGCTTCCCACCAATTTCTAATCTATTTTCTGATTGTCGAAGTTTTTTCTTTCAGACAGGATCAGGCGAAGTTGCAACGCAGTCCTACACGGACTCACAAATCCATGTGATTTATGGCGTTTTCTTTGCATTAAATATGATATCTATCATAATCTTCGTATGCCTGCCAACTAAGGAATACGATAGCATCGCATCAAAATCTCGAGAGGCTGTGCCCAGTATAAAAGAACAGTTCTGTAAGTTCCACTCAGGTTTTCACTAACGTACTTCTTGGCATTTCGCCAGTAGTCGTTGGAGCGGCATGGACTGTTGGGTTATACACACAGAAGCTGCATTGTGCTGATCCCGTGCGGGTTGTTTGCCTATTACTTCTGCCTGAGAAACAGAAGTAGGTTATTTCACTCTCTGAGTTCGCTACGGTAGCAATGCACCCCTATCAGTAGCTAGCTCGTTCCGCAACTGCAGACCGCTGAGAAGCTCGACATCTGTAAAATCCTTAACTAGCGCAAATGTCTCGAAGTAGACCGTCCCAAACAGCCCCCATTTCCTTGGATATCAGTCTTAGATAGGCCAAACAACCCCTTTTCTGGTACACATTCTGTAGCGAGATGTCAGCCCCTTTCCACCTGCTCACCGCCTCCACAGCACACCCAAACCCTGGCTTCACAACCTTGTCAAAGCGTCACAGCAGTTGAACGAACTCTGGCTGGCTATTTCTAGAAGATAACCTTGCATTGAAATGAAATGTTCTGGAATCTGGATGAGAAACGTCGAACTAACATAGTTATTCTATTTGTCAGTAGCACTTATTGGGAGTGGCTTATAAGCTCGGCAAACCTATTTTAATCCTATATCAACAAATAAATCAAGATAGATCTAATCGGACAAGTTTCTTGAAAGGTCCTGAAGGTCCGATCAGTTCAGGGTGCATGTGCACTGGAACGATAAGACACGACCGTATCAGTATCCAAATTGGAGAATGTCGTCGAAAACCAGAAGCCGTCATCGAATTGTCTAAACGTCAACAAAATAATTACTTATTAGTAGCGATAACGAAGTTATGCAAAGAACGGTACAACAGGTCTCGATCTTTCAGAATGTGCCACATATATGACTTCCCTTTAGAATCGCTATTGGATCCAAATAAGAGATTCACACCGAATAATGGACATACATAGGAGATTTATCCCCAGTCTAATCTCGTAGTTTTTCCTCTTATAAGCCCGTAAGTCATCCCATCACTTTGCAGAGGAGCAGTTAGAGATGTACTAGCCTGTTTAAGGAACCACTTCTGCCAGAGCGTAGGCATACTTCTGTGAANAAATTCAAATCAACCATACTACAACCGAATATGCTGTTATTGACGCCATTCTTTGCCTACATGGGCTTGATCGTTTCGTTCCTCATTGGCGTCTATCCAACCACTCTGGCATTTACAGCTGCTCTCAAAAACGATGTCTACATTGTCGCTATCTACAGTCTTTCTATGGGAGCAGCAGAGATTTTCGGTAAGCGACACTTTGAAACATGAAATCTCCAAAAGAATTCTTAAAGGAAAAAAACCTGCTCGTGAAAAAAATTTTTAGAGAAAAAAAAATCAAAAAAATAGAGCGGCATCGAAGACAGAGACCAAGGTGAGGCTGCTTGCCCAGGAGTTGCGTATTGAAGAAATTTTGGCTTTGAAGGAGTCAATATCGCTTTGTGACCTTAACAGTTAGTCAGAAACAGCTTGGTAATTGGGCGAAAAGTGTTGGGAATCTTGAAATCCGGTCAAAAATTCTACGGAAAAGAGAATTAGCTGGCTTTTCCAGTGGTAGTGCTTGAACGATTGCTACCAACGCTGTTCGCATGGAGCTACAGTTAATGAAGCCTCATTGGCAGCTTCGAACAAACTTGACTGACGGGTGCCTCGGTGAATCCGATGAATGTGGCTACTGTTTAGGGCCTGTAGAATGAGATTGCACCAAAGAAATGAAGGCTTAAATTGCATATACAAGAAGTTATTATTACGTTTACTTTCAGGTGGTGTGGTGCTTAGACGTCTGATTAAAAGGTCTCAAGAATGGGGTTTGGTTGTGACGATCAGCTTGCATTTCATATCAGTTATGACAGCGATCATAATGATCCTCCTGTCTGTACCCGATATGGCTTCGATCGAACCTACCACTGCATCGACGCTGCTCATCAAGCCCAGGTTCGACTACGGATAATAGCATTCATATTAGTTCACTTCCAATGAAGAGGGTGGGGATGCAAGAGCAAATGGGCTGCGTCTCCGGCACTTATACACTTCAAAACTGGATGAGTCTCTTCCACAAAAAACATTACAAAAAGTACTAGAAGGAAGTTTAGCATCCTTGAAGGGTCCGCTTACGAGTGCAGGTCAGCATCAGAATGCCAAATAAAACGCGGAAAGGTCGAGAAAGGCGAGTCCAAAGAAACTTCCCTGTCTGGAATTCCCAAACCAATCGAGCAGTTTGATGCTACAGTCTAGGTTTTCTTCTTTCAAAGTCACATAGAGCTGTCCCATGGAATCTTTTTCGAGACCGCACATCTTCTGACCAACAAAGAGCAGCAGAGAAACTTGAACGATTACCGCTGATCTTTTTAGTCAGGCCGTGTATTCGTCCTCCATTAGAACCGTGGCAACATCGTACAAGTGTTCGGGCAATAACCTAGGGTCTTATGAGCATAAGTCACGGTTTCTGTCCCCATTTTCTGTCATTTCAGCAGAGTAATCGTGGTTATTGTTGGATTCTTAATTGGTACGGGCGATTTTTCCATTA